CGCTCCGAGTGCCTCATCTAAGTGGCATCACACAGCGTTTGTCTTTTTGTGACTGGCTTATGACACCTGGCGTAGTGTCCTCACAGTCCACCCTGCACCTTATGGCAGGATTTCCTTCCTTGTTTTGTTTTCTTTTGTTGTTGTTTATTTATTTTTGAGAGAGAGAGAGAGAGAGAGCATGATCAGGGGAGGGGCAGAGAGAGAGGGGGGCAGAGAATCCCAAGCAGGCCCTGCGCTGTCAGCACAAAGTCTGACACGGGGCTCGAACTCACGAAACCCTGAGGTGATGACCTGAGCCAAAAACGAGTCGGATGCTAACTGACCGAGCCCCCAGGTGCCCCAGGGTGCACCTTCCTTCTTAGGCTAACTCACTTTCCGTTGCGTGGATAGACCCCGTGTTGCTTCCAGCCTGAAGCTCTGCGGTTCGTGCTGCTGTGGACGTGGGTGTGCGTATCTCTTTGAGATCCTGCTCTCCAGTCTTGTGGGTGTAGACCCAGGAGTGGAATACTGTGATTCGATTTTTCATTTCTTGAGGAGCCAACACACAGTTTTCCCCAGCAGCCACACCATTTCCCACCAACAGTGCACAGGGCTCCAGTCCTGCACGTCCTTGCCAGCACAGCATTGTTTTGTTTTGTTTTTAAATTTTTTTAAATGTTTATTTTTGAGAGACAGAGCACGAGCGGGGGAGGGGCAGAGAGAGGAGGCAGAATCCAAAGCAGGCTCCAGGCTTGGAGCTGTCAGCACAGAGCCCGACGCGGGGCTCGAACTCACGAACCGTGAGATCATGACCTGAGCCGAAGTCGGACCCTTAACCGGCTGAGCCGCCCGGTCTCCCCTAAAACATTTTAGAACGAGTGTGTGTCTCCCTGCAGAGCTGCCCGGCACCCGCGGACAGCTGTTGAAAGCAGCTTTTCTGAAGTTTATTCTGCTCGACTTGCACCTGCTGCTGTGTGCGGTGTGCATTTCCACCAGTTTCCTCCTCGAGGGGAGGTGAGCAGGTGATTGCCTGGCATAGCCCTGGGCAGACCAGCCTGAGCCTCCATGTTTATCTTGCTCGTGCTCAGTGACTCCGTGTTTACCTTGCTCGCGCTCGGTGATCTTCAGAGTAACCTACCTGCTCGGTTCCCCAGTCGGAGAGGGCTCTGCATATAAACACAGTTTGATTTTTTCTTTCCCAGTCTGTACCTCCAATTTCCTTTTCTTGTTTGTTGCCTTAGCTAGGACTTCCAATACAGCGTTGAAAAGCAGTGGTGAGAGGGGACATCCGTGTCTTTTTCCTGATGTAAGTGATGTTCAAGCACGTCACCATTAGTTACAATGATAGCTGTAGGGTTTTTGTTGATGCTCTGTATCAGGTTGAGGAAGTTTCTTTCTGTTCCTCCTTTGATGAGTGTTTTTGTCACGAATGGGTGTTGGATGTTGCCAAAGGTTTTTTCTGTGTCTGTTGATATGATCATATGATTTTCTGTTTTAGTCTGTTGATGTGTGATGGATTACATTAATTTATTTCTGAATTTGGAATCAGCCTTGCCTACCTTGGATAAATGCCACTTAGTCATTGTGCGTAATTATCTTTATGCCTTGTTGGATTCAATTTGCTAATATTTTATTGAGGATTTTTGCATTTATGTTTATGAAAAATACTGATGTGTAGTTTTTCTTTTCTTGTAGGATCTTTGATTTTTTTTTTTAATTTTTTTGCAACGTTTTTTATTTATTTTTGGGACAGAGAGAGACAGAGCATGAACGGGGGAGGGGCAGAGAGAGAGGGAGACACAGAATCAGAAACAGGCTCCAGGCTCCGAGCCATCAGCCCAGAGCCTGATGCGGGGCTCGAACTCACGGACCGCGAGATCGTGACCTGGCTGAAGTCGGACGCTTAACCGACTGCGCCACCCAGGCGCCCCGTAGGATCTTTGATTTTGATACTAGGGTAATGCCACCTCATAGAATGGGTTAGGAAATGTTTTCTCTGGTTTTATTTTCCAGAAGAGATTATAGAGTGTTGGTATCATTTCTTCCTTCAGCGTGTGCTAGGATTCACTCGTGAACGTGTCTGGGGCTGGTGCTTTCTGTTTTGGAAGGTTTTAAATTGAATCAATTACTGTAATAGGTCTATTATGCCTATTCAGATTATCCATTTCTCTTTATGTGAATTTTGATAGTTGGGTCTTGCAAAGAATTTCATTGTGATTTGAGAACATACTGTGTGCGGTTTGTAGTCTTTTAAATTTAAGGTGTATTTGATGGCCCAGAATGTGCTGCCCCTTGGTGAATGTTCATGTGAGCTTAAGAAAAATGTGTGCTCTACAGCTGTCCATTGAAGTCGTCTGTAGATACCAGTTATATCCTGTTGATTGAGGGTGTTGAGTTCACCTGTGTCCTCACTGATTTTCTGCCTGCTGAGTCTTTCCATTTTTTGATAGAGAGGGGGTTGAAGCCTCTGGTTACAGTTGTAGATTCATTTATTTCTCCTTGCAGTTCTATTAGTTTTTGCCCTGTGTATTTTGATGCTCTGTTGTTGGGTACATATATGTTAAGGATTGCCACATCTTCTTAGAGAACTGTTTTCATTATGTAAGGCCCCACTTAAAAAATTTTTTTTTTTTTTTAGAGAGAGAGACTGTGTGCGCACAAACCAGGGAGAGGAGTGGTGGGGGGTAGGGGGTGGGCAGGGAGAGGATCTTAAGGCATGGAGCTTGATCCCATGACCTTGGGATCATGACCTGAGCCAAAATCAAGTGTTGGATGCCCAACCAACTGAGCCACCCAAGGCCCCTTTGTGTTTTACTTTTTTTTTTTTTTTTTGAGAGAGCACAAGCTGGGGTGGGGCAGAGAGAGAGGGAGAGAGAAGGAGTGAAGCAGACTCTGTGCTGTCAGCACAGAACCTGATGTGGGGCTTAAACCCATGTACCGTGAGATCATGACTCAAGCTGAAGTTGGTCACTTAACTGACTGAGCTACCCAGAAGCCCCCCCAAGGCCCCTCTTAAATTTTTTTTAATGTTTATTTTTGAGACAGAGATAGAGCAGGGGAGGGGCAGAGAGAGAGGGAGACACAGAATCAGAAGCAGGCTCCAGGCTCCGAGCTGTCAGCACAGAGCCCGACGCGGGGCCTGAACTCACAGACCAGACCGCGAGATCATGACCCTGAGCTGAAGTCGGACACCCAACTGACTGAGCCACCCAGGCACCCCCTAAGGCCCCTCTTTAAAGGGGGTTTCTTGTAGTCAACTTAGAGTTGGATCTTGAATTAAAATTTTATTTTTAGCAAGCTCTGTGTCCAGTTGGGGCTTGAACTCACGACCCCAAGATCAAGAGTTACATGCTCTACCAACGGAGCCAGCCAGGCATTCCTGGGTCTTGAATTTTGTATTGAGTCTGACAGTCTTTGTCTTTTAATCGGTATATGCAAACTGCCACATTTAAAGTGATGATTCAGACACTTGGATTCGTGTCTATCATATTTGTAGCTGTGTATATTCACTGCCCTTGTTCTTTGCTTCTTTTCTCTGTTTTGGTTTTTGGCCTTCTATTCTTTTTCTGCCTTCTCTGATTTTATTTGAACTCTCTGAATACATTCTTTTAACGTCTCTTGCCAGGTAACCATTACATCCCTCCAATTTTGTTTGTTGGAGACAGGTTTTTTTTTTCCCCTTTGCTTCAAGGGACAGGCTCAGTGGATACAGAGTTGCAGGTTGATGGTATTCTTTCCACACCTGAGTGTTTCATTCCTCTCCTGTGGGCCTGGTGTCTGGAGAAGTCTGATGTCCTTCTTTGGCCTGTTCCTCGGTAGGGATGTACTGTTCTCCCGTGGCTTACTTTAAGTTCTTCTCTTTGTCCTTGATTTTTTATGGGGTGAATATGAAATGCCGAGGTGTAGGGTTTTTCCTTTTTCTCGCTCCTCTCTTCTCCTTCTACGTCCTGCTTGGTGTTCCCTGAGCTTTCCGAGTCCGTGGTTTGGTGTGGGGGTCGTTCGGCGTCAGATATTTCTTCTTCTTTCTCTTCTTCTCCTGGTGGTCCCGCAACATGTATGGTGCACCTCTTGTCATTTTCATACCGTTTTTTGATATCCTGTCCCATCTTCTTCATGCTTCGGCCTCTTTTTCTGCGTTCTGGCTGACATGCCTCCACGCTCACCGATTCTTCCCGTGGCCGTGTCCAGCCTGCTGACGCATCTGTCAAAGGCGCTCTTTGGTCCTCATCTCTGTTGTGGTGTTTTTGATCGTCCGTGTTTCCCATTGATGTATATTTGGAATTTCTGTGTCTCTGCTTCACATCACCCATGATGAGCGATGTCCACTTTTTCTGTCGGAGCCCTTAGCGTACGAGGCACGCTGCTTTGAGCTCTGGGTCTGGCGGTTCCTGAGAACAGCCCTGGTGCGTCTGCATCTGGCTCTGATGCTTGCCCTGTCCGTTCAAACAGTGTTTCTGCCTCTCAGCGTGCCCTGTGACTTTTTGTTGGAAGCTGGACAGGATGTATCAGGTAGAAGGAACGGAGGTAGACACGCCATGCGTGTGAGGTTGCGTGTTGATCTGGCTGGAGGTCGACGTGTGGGGGCGGGGTGCACTCTCATCCCGTGGCTGGTCTGCCTGCACCCTCCCACAAGCCTGTGCCCCTGTGCTGCCACGGCCACACATGCCTCTCACTTTGCTTCCTCTCCCGGAGAGAAGGCTGGGGGCCGGAGTCGGGGGTTCCCGTCCCTGGTGGTTCCGGTGCTAGGAAGCGAGTTCTCCTTGTGGGAAGGCCCTTGTCATGGAGAACAGAATGCTCTGCTCAGAGTTCTGAGGCGGGGAGTGTGGGAGCGTCTCCTCCACCAACAGGGTTTCCCCAGGAGCTCAGAGTGTGCTTCCTCGTGGGGGCCTCCGCTCCGAGCCGGGCCAGCAGGCCTGGTGGCGGAAGGCGGAGGCCGGGCTGTGCCCTCTGCATACCCACGCCGGCTGATCTTCCCTTCCTTTCCCTTCCTCACAGCGGCTTCTCTCCTCGCTTTCTCTCAGTACTTAGGTCAGTTAACGTCCATACCAGGATACCTGAATCCCTCCAGTAGGACCGAAATCCTGCATTTCATAGACAATGCAAAGGTAACCCCATCCCCCTGACCCTGACCTCTGACCCTCCCTCTGCTCCAGCTCCTAGCTCTGGCCTCTGACCCTCATACTGTGACACCAGCTCTTGGTCCTCTGACACTGGGCCTCCGTGGCCGTGAGCGATGGTCCTGTCCCGTCATGTTATGGGTGCGCTTGGCTCTTGGCCATAAAGACTGTTTTTGTCCGAACATGAACTTTATTCTTCCTTGTGGCCTGGGGCTGTTTCTGGAAATCACGTTTCCAAGATAGGTAAAGCACACGCTGTAGTCTGAACCCAGGCAGCTCCAGAAGCCACAGAGCTCCTGGAGCAAGCGTGGCTATGCCGTAGGGCGAGTCCCGGCCTCTACACGCTGTGGGGCTCCCGGGGCCACGGCCAGGCCTGCGCTTCTGATGCTGTGGTACCTTCCAGAGAGCCCACCAGCTCCCCGGACACCTGACCCAGGAGCACGACGCTGTGATCAGCCTGTCTGCCTACAATGTCAAGCTGGCCTGGCGGGACGGGGAAGACACCATCCTCAGGGTCCCCATCCATGACATCGCTGCCGTGTCCTACGTGCGGGACGACGCCTCGCACCTGGTGGTCCTGAAGACAGGTATGGACCTGGGAGGTGGGGCCAAGGGGTCCTTGTCGGGCGCAGCCCGCGGCCTGGTCCTCGGTAGTGAGTCTGGGAATCCGATGGAGCCCTGGAGACGGTGCCTCCAGCATCAGGTCGCTGCTCCGGCCCGCCCTGCTAGCTCTGAGGTCAGCCTTGGCCGGAGGTCAGTGACCCGAGAGACCAGGAGAAAGAGGTGCTGAGCCGGCCCCTCTCCCTGGGGGTCCGTGGGCCTGCCCCTGTGCCTGGTGCTGCCCCCTCTGGGACGCTGGAGTGTCCTCTAGGTGTGCGGGCGTGGTACAGCCACGAAGTGCGCCTCAGCTCAGCCCTCCAAATATTTGGGCTCTGCCTTTGGCCATGGCTTCTCAAAGCTGGGTGCAGAGGTGAGATCGCACCGTCACGGAGCTCCTGGTCCTTGAGACGTTCTGCGCGTGTCCTTGTAGGAGTCAAGAGGGCCCTAAGACCCGCCCCCAGGGGGTGGGCCCCCCGCCCCCTGCACCTAGCCCACCCCTCTTCTGGGGATGGGCGCCCAGTGTCGCCTGCTGGGCTCTCCCCATGGGCCGCCCACCAGGGGCTGCAGCCTCTGCCTGGTACCCAGTCCCTGAGACATGAGGAAAAAGTCACGGTCTTGCTTGAGCTGTGCCCCTCGGGGAAATCTGAGGTTGGTGCCGCGGTACCGATGTCCTGGGCTCCTTTGGGTGCTCTGGGGGCCGGTGGGGTCCTGAAGCCATTCATTTCAAGGGGGCCTGGGGGCAGGGCCTGCGGGGGGCCAGGTGGTTCACCCAGAGCACACTTTAGGCAGTGCGGGCGGAACGTTGTTTTTCTGCCCGAGGTTGGCGGTTCGTGGGGCATCTGAGAGATTTTCTTAAGAGACCGGATCCTGGTGAGGGTTCTCACACATGCCCCTGAGCATTGGCGGCTCTCGAGGACAGTCGGGAGGTTACCGCCATGAATCCAGGAGGCCTACTGTGGGGCCACCACACGGTACCTGCAGCGGCTTGTGGGGGGCTGCCCTGGGAGTGACAGACAGGCCCTCTGCTTGTGCGGCTGTGGCTTAGCACTCCTGCACACACTGCACATCACACACGTTCCCACCACACATTCACACCACACACACCTACACACGTTCACACCACACACATTCACACCACATTCACACCATGCACATCCACACCACAGACATTCCCGCAGATACCACACACGTTCACACCACACATACCATGTTCACGTCACACACGTTCACACCAGACATGTTCACACCACACACTCACACACTACATATACTCGCACACACCAGACACGTTCATACGACACACACACACCAAACATATCACAGACACCTTACAGGTTCACACCACATACCCCACACATCAGGCACATTCATACTCACACCCCTGATCTGACATACTGTGCATCGAGGTCCCCTCTGTCATCTGCTTATTCTTGCCTTAGCTGAGCGTCTGATGTTTAATGATGGGCATTATTTCAGGTTGAATGATGCAAAACTTACCATACGTAACCATTTTAATTTATAAAAATGGCGGTTTGGTGTGGCTCAAACCAGTAGAAAGTGTGGGCCCCGGATCATCTCATGCACTCTCCACATAAGCTGTGAGGAAGGTCCCGTTCTCCCGCTTCACAGATGAACCACCAGAGCACAGAGGTTGAGGGACTGGTGGAGGGCCAGGGGGGAGATGGGGGGGCTGGCTGGCCTAGGAAATGGCGCTGGAAGTGCTCCCGCCACTGCTGCCTGGTGCTGCTGTGGCCGCCCGTTTCCCTGCCTGGGGACAGACAGTCCCGCGGGAGGCCCGAGATCTGCGGCATCCTGAGGGACAACAAGCGGTGGGAAGACCGGCCTCTGAGCAGCACCTGCCAGTGTTGAGCCTGCTGGGTGGGCAGCCGGGCCCCCCTGGTTTCTTGTGTTGCGGGACATTCATCTGCGTTCATCATTAGAGCCAATTGCTAGGAAATGGGGAATGGATTTTTCTAAATGGTTTCTTTTTTTTTTTTTTTTTTTTTTTTTTTTTTTTTTTTCAACGTTTATTTATTTTTGGGACAGAGAGAGACAGAGCATGAACGGGGGAGGGGCAGAGAGAGAGGGAGACACAGAATCGGAAACAGGCTCCAGGCTCTGAGCCATCAGCCCAGAGCCCGACGCGGGGCTCGAACTCACGGACCGCGAGATCGTGACCTGGCTGAAGTCGGACGCTTAACCGACTGCGCCACCCAGGCGCCCCATGGAATGGATTTTTCTAAAGGGAGAGAGCGAACTCCATAGGAGACACTTGGCAAAGTGAGACGAAAACTTGAGAGCTTTCGAGTTGAAGGAAGAGAATGAGTCCGTGTGTCCCAGGCATCTTCGTCATTTTAGCGGCTGGCCCTGCAGCGAAGGCCCAAGACTGTGAGCCTGCACGTCTGCGAGGCTCCTGTGTGCGCCAGGCGTGCTGTGTATGAGGCAGCTGACATTTGTTAAGTGCCTACCGCGTGTAGCGCCCCTGGATGCCTCTTTGGGTCCAGGGTTCGCAGGTGCTGGGAGGGGGGCGTGGGGGTCACGTCTGGCTGCGGGGGCTTCCGCGCGTGGCAGGCCCGGCTCGGAGGGCGGGGGCCAGACGTCCAGGCTCACCGGGCTGGAGCGGACTGCACAGTCTCATGGAGGGGTTTCCGTGGATGTGTGAGGGCGGGTGGGGATCAGAGGCAGCAGCTGCGGGACGGCTGGTGGGGATGCTGCTGGCGGCCGGATGTGGGCTTGTCAGAGACCGCACACGCGCACTGGACCTGACTGTGGGGCCGCACACCCTGTGTCCCTGGGAACGGCCATGGAGCTACTTAGACTGTCCTCGTAGTCACAGCAGTGACAGCAAGCAAGGGAAATAGGTGTCCTTTGTGTCCCAGATGTGGTGCTGGTGTGTCACCAGTTCAATCATCGTTAAGACGTCACGTGTTCTCCGTACTTCCCGAGACCCTGTGTGTTGTTCACACTCCGTGTGCACCACAGGGTGGACTTGTCACATTGGACATGTGCAGTGCCTGGTGCCGACGTGGGGCTGTGCAGCCCTGGGGTCTCACTGCGGCGTTTGTGGGTCTTGGCCCCGCATGGGGTGCTGCCCGCCCTACTGGGCCCCGGTCTCTGTGGGCACACGTGTCCCGACTGTGGCTCCTGCCTGGTTCCTGTGTCAGGCCACGTGTGAGTCTTGGGTGTCCTCCGTGGTGAGGTGAGCTTGCCTCCAGACACCCCAGCATCAGGGAGGCTCCACCTCCCATTCCTGCTCCTGGGCCACCCAATGGGGGCCTCCCCACTGCGTCTGCCCCAGGGCACCTTTGGGGAGGTGCTCTGTGGGGTGTTAGAAATGTGGGTGGGAGCGTGTGCGGGCCGGGCCCCCTCCTGGCCTCTGCTCCTCTCATGCCCTTGGGCCCGGCCCTTCCGGCCCCCGTGCCTCAGTTTCCCTGTCTCCTGTCGGAATTGTGTTCATGCCCATGGTTCAGTGATGCTGTGAATGGAACCCCGGGAATACCTTCTTCTGTGTGGATCCAAAGCAGCCGAATATCGGCAATTTCGTGTCTCAGCCTAAGGTGCTTGCGTCATCGGTAGCGGGGATGCCAGGAGGTCCTGCAGGGTGCTGATTCTCAGTGAGCAGTGGCCGAGCAACGGCCCAGGGTGAAGGCGTGTCTCACCTGTTCCCTGCTTTGTTTAGAGGGGGTGAGGGAGGGGCATACCCGAGGCAGGCCTGTCCCTCACCTGAGCCAGGTAGGGGCTGCCCAGAGCCTGCTCTTGAGCTTCCACACCTGCCCTAACCTGCTGCAACGTTGCTTCCCAGCCCAGGACCCTGGCATCTCCCCCAGCCAGAGTCTGTGTGCAGAAAGTTCCAGAGGCCTCACCGCAGTCTCCCTGTCAGAGAGTGGAGTGGGGCCTGTGGAGGCGTGCTGCCTGGTCATCCTGGCGACCGAGAGCAAGGTGGGTAGAGGATGGGCCCTGGCACTCAGACCCGTCCCCACCAGGTCCCTGAGCCTCCTAGAGCTGGCCCAGGCCCCGCCCCAACCCCCAACCCAGACTCTGACCCCTCCCACACCCCAACCAGGCTCCTCCCAGATGCCCCCCACCCAGGCCCTGTCCACACCCTGACCCAGGCTTCTCCTACACTCCTCCGACCCCCGGGGGCTCCTCACACACCCTGAGCAGGCTCTGCCCACACCCTGACCTAGACTCTTACCACGCTGCAACCTAGGGTCCGCCCACACCCTGATCCAGATGCCGCTCATACCCCTGTCTAGACCCCGCCCACACCCTGACCCAGGCTCCTCCCACAACCTGCCCAGGTCCTACCTACATCCATGACCCAGGCCCCTCCCACATCCCAATCCAGGCTTCTCCCACATGCCGGCCCACGCCCTTCCCACAACCTGCCCTGGTCCCTCCCACAACCTGCCTACATCCATGACCCAGGCCCCTCCCACATCCCAATCCAGGCTCCTCCCACATGCCGGCGCACTGCCCTGCTTAGGCTCCTGCCAGCTACACTGAGTCTGGTGCCTTCAGGCTGTGCTGCTTTTTTATTTCAGGGGCCTCACCCCTTTTTCTCTAAGACCGATGGGGGCAGTGGTCTCCCGTACCCCAAGCTGTGCCCTGAGAGGGGCGAGTGCGGGCTTGGGGCCCCCCAGCTGCCTCAGGGCTGGCAGCCTAGGAGAGCTCTTTAGTAGTCATCAGTTTAGTTTATGTCTGTAAGACTAGTGGGGACCGCGGTGCCGCGGGAGCCTCTGATCAGTGCCCTTCCTCAGCTCTGCCCGCCTTCCAGCCAGGCAGCTCTCAGGGGGCTGTGTCCCTGGCCTGTCCCCACTGCAGGTCCCTCTAGACACCACCCCGTGACCGGGGGCAGAACTGCCCCCGGCAGGACCCACACGCCTGTGAAGCTGTGTGCTCTCCCCGAGCTCCGGGCAGCAGAGGGGACCTGGGCAGCCCCGGGCAGCAGATGGGGGCTGGCGGCTGATGCACCTGGCCCCTCGGGTCCAGAGAGCCTTCTGGACATGGGCTGGTCCCCTTGGGGACCCGCTGAGAGGTGGGGGGCCCAGGGCCCGAGAAGCAGGTGCCCGGCAAGCCGCCCAGGAGGGTCCAGCTTTGTTGCAGGTCGCTGCTGAGGAGCTGTGCTCCCTGCTCGGGCAGGTCTTCCAGATTGTGTACACAGAGTCCACCATCGACTTTCTGGACCGAGCCATATTTGACGGGGCCTCGACACCCACCCACCACCTGTCTCTCCACAGCGGTACGTGGGCCTAGGCGAACAGCCATGCCGTCGGGCGTTGATCCGTGGCCTGACAAGGCAGCCAGGTCCCCCGCCTTGGCTAGCCTGGTGGCGTCCTGCATGACTGGGGGCCATGGAACGCTCTCTCAGCCAGTTGCTTCACTGACCTCTGAACAGAGGGCCAGGAGGGGCTCGGAGCACAGGGGGCTGGAGGGTGGGTATGGGGCAGGACCCCCAGGCCTTGCTGCTCTCGGGGTGAGGGCTTCTTCCAGGACCAAGGCTGCCTGGGTGATGGGCACTTGGAAGCCGCCACGTCCTCTGGTATCTGTGGAGCATTTTCAGGTGCGCTAGAGCACGGGACGGGCTTCACCTGCACACGGCTGGCTCACTATATCTGTGTTTTGCACACCAAGGGTGTCCATTGGTTCCCACTCCCAGGGATGCCCCTTGCTTGTCCCACCCGCCCCTCTCAGAGCTCACCAGCTGCACACAATGGTGTCCGTGTTCCTCATGATCTGCATCACACGGACCTGAGGTCATCTGTCCAGTGTTTCCCGAGGAGCTGCTGTGCACCAGGCTCTGCCGGTGTGAGGGTCTCAGGCCCCCGGGGGCCGCCTCTGTCCTCGGCGAGTAGCTGTCCCCACATGGAGCTCCCTGGGTCCAGGCTGAGGGTCAGACCCACCTCTGATTGTGGCTTCTGCACCCCCGCCCCCCCCCCCCCCCCGCCACCGCGGTCGTGAGATGTGGGGCAGGTCGTCCGACCTCTGGGATTCAATTCCTCATCCAAAGGGAGCAACACAGCCTCGAGGACGCTGCTGGCGCCCCCAAGTTGCGTTTCCCTTATCCTTGGCCACTGGGGAGCACTCTTCAGGCGCCCGCTTGGTGCGTCCTCCGAGGCCAGAGCCTTGCACTCAGGCCCAGACCTGCAGCAGGTGGTGTGGCTCAGGACCCCCCAGGAGGGGCCCGCGTCTTCTGCCAGGTGCTGGGCCGCCGGTCTCCGTGCCCCCTCCCCATGTAACCGGCTGCCTCTTCCGCACTCCCTGCAGACGACTCTTCCACCAAGGTGGACGTGAAGGAGCCGTATGAGACGGAAGTTGGCACGTTGTGAGTACCCCGCCCACTGCCCCTCGCTCCTGTCAGCT